GATCATCTAAGCACTATAGATAAGATAGACGCCATGAAATTCTGTGACATCTTCCTACAATATCCCAACTAGGCAAGACAAAGCTGGAGAAGAGGGTAATGTTACAATGTTATGAGGGAGGTTTATTTTTTCATCTTGTGTATCTACCCCAGACCCTGTACTATCTATTTTCAGATGATCTTTTCTTGATGTGCTCCATGTGTTCTCCTCATATCTAACTGTCATTGTTCATCACTGAGTCCTCTCAGTGTTTTATTTCCATCATCTCCTTTGTTATTCCTTGATTCAGCTCCAGAACTGATATATCATTTACATCAATAGCACCCTATGATATTTCCAATATCTCTTTCTATTTAAGATATAGCTACTACATTATTGTGCTTTAGTTTTGTCATCTTTTTCCTACACATACTACATAGGGACATCTGCAATAGAACCTAGGCATTTCTATCTGCTTTAATCAGTCTGCACTCTTCAACTTCCCCTACCAGGGAAGCTCAGCTTCTGTTGGATAACAACTCTACTTCTAGTCTTCAGCATAGGACTTAGGTGTTACAGCTACCCAATGCCCAGACAATATCAAGTTGAACTCCTGATCCTCAGTCATTCAAGATCTCTTAACAACACCTCAGTCCTCTATCTACACAGCATTAGATTGGGAGTGTGTATATCCTTCATTTCACATGACCTATTACTTACAGCTCTCTAGTTATACATTACAGGTACATACATAAGTCCTCTGTCTACATGACATTAGGTTGAGATTACAGTTCCTACAGTTACAAGCAAAGGGGCAGAGAAAGTGTGAGCAGGCACAGAGAAAAGTGAAGAAAAATGTGGTCAGGTGAAATAGAAAGAGCTCCAGGATACAGATGCAACTGACTGCAAGCAAGAATCAGGAAGCTCATCAAGTGACAAGGAAGGTACAGAATAAATGTGTCAGATGTCATTGGAATTACCATACATGGAAATAGTAATGCACCAGTTATGCTGGGTAAAGGACTGATTTTCCATGACTTTGTGTTATTTCTCATTGTTCTGCCCTGTATGCAGTGGATTCATATGCTCTAGCTTCTGTGTTCTGTATAGGCATTGTGTATGCACATGTTAAGAAACCCAGATATATTTGAAGGAGAAATTACAAGAGAGACAATGTCAAGAGGAGGTTTCAATTTCTGTAGGTAAAGGAGCGGTAGTACCTTTTGCTTTTTCGCTTTTTTTGTGCTTTTTTGTGCTTATTGTTTTTTATGTATATCTTAGAATGGATTTTTTTTTTT